GGTGTACACGCCTGTCTCCCCAAACAAATACAAGATATAAAATAAAAAAGCATGTAGTATCTAAATGGAAATCACATCCCTCTGACTAAATAACATTGCTCCCCCTAGAGACAATAGTGGGAAACAGTATTCAAGTCTCAAATTCCATAGCACACAGTTTGACAGTATAAAGCAGAATTTCTTTTTATTTAACATTTTTAGTACTGCCCTCCCAGTGTTCATTGGTTTGCTCGAGCGGGCACCAGTAACGTCTCACAACAAATTGTGAGACTTGTTGTTACTCATTTTGGCATATAGAATACGTCATGTGTAGCTTGCCAGGCTGTGCGGGCGAGATATTCTCGGTAGCTTGCCAGGCTCTCCGAGAGGGGTGGAAGAATCAAACCTGGGTCAGCCCCATGTACAAGGCAAACACCCTACCCACTGTGCTATTGCTCCATTTATAAACTACATAAATAATTTCTATTTTACCCTTAAAATTCAAGAAGTTAAAAGCTATCATCAGAAATTTTTGTTCTGCGTTTGTTAGGGACTGAACCCAGGAGTTTGTAAATGCATGGGGTGCACTCTATTACTGAACTGCACCACTGAGCCAACTCCCTGGCCCCCTGAAACTATTGTTAAGAATAAATTAACTAGGGGGCAGAGAGATATAACAGAGGGTAGGGTAGGGTAGGGTACTTGCCTTACATGCATCTGACCTGGATTCGATCACCAGCATCCCAAATCATCCCCAGAGCCTTGCCAGGAATGATCCCTGAGCACAGAGCCAGGAGTAAGTCCTTGACATAACTGTGGCCCGAAAACAAAACAAAAAATAAGTGAGTAAAAAAAGTAAATAAATTAGTTAATAAGCAGTTAAATTGGCATGTAAACCATGCTCTTAATTAATTACATAAATTAATGTCAGTGCTTTAATTTCAGGAGCAAGGTGACAAAATGTTATGGGAAAGTCACTTGTAGGGTTTTGATGCAGTTGGGATTTTGATATGCTAACATTGTAAAGTTTTGGGTTTTCTTTCAGTGTCAGTGCTCTACCATTTTTTGATAAGGTTATATATTTATACAGTTTGTCAATAAATCTCTATCTTTGGTTTTTTTGCAGTACAAGTTCAGCTATTTTAAGAAATGTATATGAATGTATATCTCAGGGGAATTTTTGAGCATTTCTTGGAAAAATTTAGTTCTTTTCTTTGGAAGCAAATATAAACATTTAAAATAGCAAAAATGGGGCCAGGCATTAATCATCAGGGAGATGCAGATCAAAACCACAATGAGATACCATCTCACACCTCAGAGACTGGCCCACATTCAAAAGAACAAAAGCAACCGATGCTGGCGTGGATGTGGCGAGAAAGGGACACTCCTTCACTGTTGGTGGGAATGTCCACTGGTTCAGCCCTTCTGGAAAACAGTATGGACGATTCTCAAAAAATTAGAAATTGAGCTCCCATTTGACCCAGCAATACCACTCCTGGGAATATATCCCAGAGAGGCAAAAATGTATAGTCGAAGTGACATCTGCACTTGTTTGTTCATTGCAGCACTCTTTACAATAGCCAGAAACTGGAAGAAACCTGAATGCCCAAGAACAGATGACTGGTTAAAGAAACTTTGGTACATCTACACAATGGAGTACTATGTAGCTCTTAGAAAAGATGAAGTCATGAAATTTACATACAAGTGGTACAATATGGAAAGTATCATGCTAAGCGAAATGAGTCAGAAAGAGAGGGATAGACATAGAAAGATTGCATTCATCTGGGGAATATAAAGTAACAAAGTATGAGATTAATACCCAAGAATAGCTGAGATCAGCACCAGGAGGATTACTCCATAACTTAGAGGCCATCCGGGTATCCTAGAGGAAAGGGCAGTTCAGATAGAGAAGGGAGCACCAAATAAAGGATGTTTGGAGGATCCTCCCAGGAGGGGAGATGCATGTCGAAAGTAGACTATGGACTGAACATGTTTGCCACTCAATGCCTCTTTTGCAGACCACAACACCCAAAAGGAGAGAGAGAACACAGGGGATTGCCCTGCCACAGAGACAGGGGGGATGGGGGGATGGGGGTGGGAGGGATATTATCCATGGTGGTGGAAAATGGGCACTGGTGGAGGGATGGGTATCTGATCATTGTATAATTGAAACCAAAGCACAAAAAATTGTAAATCTACAACTTTAAAAAAAATAAAATAAAATAAAGGGAAAAAAATGGGGCCAGGGAGATGGCTCAAAGAGATGAAGCACATGGTTTGCACACAGAATCACTCAGAACTCCTGGATTTGATCCCAGCACCACAAAGAATGAACCCCCAACATGCTACATATGGCTTCAAAACAAAAGGTTGAAATGGTATGTTTTATATTATATTTCTATATATTTAATACCTTTTCAAAAAAGGGGTACAGGTCTCTGTACATTTTTCTAGAAATTAGACGATATTTTGAAGAAAAACTTTTTTTAATTGCTCAGAAAATAAAAGTTAATCTGTCAGATTAGCAATCTCCCACACATTTGTAGCCTGCTCACCTGTACTCCAGAACCAGACAAATTTATTTCCCAGGATGCCTTGCAGCCAGGGCTTTCCTGTGAGCCACAGAGACGTACTGCTCTAACTGGCCTTTAGTGTGGTCAATGGCAGCACTGAGTTGCCCTTTGCACCAGAATACTTCCCATGTGCCGGGTATTTCCCTGTGGCTATTCTGTTTTTGATCTGAGCACACAAGATTGATTCCCTGTCCCTCCTGGAAATCCTACAAGTAATCTAACAGCCTTTTACAATGACTTTTCTGTCTAAATAACTAGAATGGAACCTGTTAATATTTGAAAAAAAAATGATGGAAATAAAATACGGCAGTCAAGATCACACAAGAGACGCTTGAGCAACTGCTCCCATGGAGCCCCCAATTAACGTTTACAGAAATGATAATAAGCAGATGCATTTGCCTTTTTTGTTGTTTTTGCACGTTGTGGGGTCACGTGTGGTGCTCGGGGTTATTTTTGGCTCTGTACTCAGAAGTGACCTGTGGTGGTGCTTGGGGGAACCACATGTGGCACCAGAGTTGAACCAGGATCAGCCGAGTATGTAAGGCAAACACCTTATTGACTGTATTATCTCTCTGGTCCAGGCATTTCTGTCTTGGTGGAGTTCTGGCAGTAACTTTTTTTTTTTTATTATTTTTGGGTCACACCCAGTGATGCACAGGGGTTACTCCTTGTTCTGCACTCAGGAGTTATTCCTGGAGGTGCTCAGAGGACCATATGGGATGCTGGGAATCAAGCCCGGGTCGGCCGCGTGCAAGGCAAATGCCCTACCCGCTGTGCTATCTCTCCAGCCCCTCTGGCAGTAACTTTTTGAGCGAGGAAGCTAGAACAGAACCTCTGTTGGCAGAGGTGATATAGGAGCCTTAGAGGGCCCTTTTATCCAGCAGACTGGCAGCATATATAGTACACAATTTACATCAAAGAGAAATGCATTCAGTGACAAGCAAAGAAGGAATTCTAAAGAATAAAACTGAAAGCTCGAGAATAGTTCAGTGGTCGTACGTGCCTGGTGTCATGAGGCTCAGAGTTCAATACCAGGCACTACCCCACATGCCAAGCATGGCCCTAGAATACTTTTGGGGATTCCCAGTGGAGCAAAAAAGTGTGCAAACTCCAGAGCCTGTTTTGATGCCACACTGAGCGGTGCTCAATGCTGACTCCTGGCCCTGTGCTCTGGACTTACTCCTGGTGGGGATAGGGGGTGCACATGAGGTGCCTGGGATCTACCAGAGTCTTCCCTGTGCAAGGCGCCCTACATGCTGTACTATCGTGGAGCACCAACTTTGCTTGCTGGGAACCCAGATTCCATCCCTGCATTGCATAGTTCCTTGCTCCCCCTCCCCCCTCAAAAAAAAAAGAGTGTGTTGTTACTAAAAGTGAACCTCCACACACCAAACGAGACAGCTTGTACGGGAAAAGCAGCTGTTGGGTTATACTCCCCAGATCAAAGCCGGGCCCCCTCTGTGAAAAGCATGAAGTCAGCTCTTGAATCCCTCTCTGTCCTAGTAAGCCGATTACTCAGAATGGACAGGTTGCAGACTGTTGGGCCACAGGATGGTTTCCAGGGTGTCCAGATGTCTGAAACTTAGATATATGACACATATTTTTTTTTGAGGTGGTGGGGAGCAAGGAAGAAGGGAGGGCAAGACTGTGTAAACATTCATTGCTTTCTTATGCATAGAGTGGCTTGCTGGGTGTCATTTGGAGACAAGTTCTTAATTCCTTTTGGGCTTGCCCCATTTCCACACTTCTTGGGCATCACTCACCACCAAATGACTTTCAAAAGTCTAACTTTAACTTGCCCCTACTTCTGTCTCTGCAGACTCATTCTTTCTACCATCATTTGTTTGTGCATGTGAACTCAGGGAAGAGGGCCCAGGCTGAAATCTTAGCACTATCCCAAACGTCTTTCTCCGCTCTCAAAATCGATCCAATAATAAACGCCCCCCCGTGCTCAAAGTAGATCAAAAAGAATGGGAGAAGCCCTTCAGGCCTGAGCGGCAGCGGCCACAACACCCTGATTAAAAAAAAAGAGAGGCTCCCTCGGCCCAGCTCAAGAATCCCCCCGGGAGAGAAAGAGTCTCGGGTCCTGGAAATCGCGGAGGAAGAAGACGCAGAACTCTCAAGGCGCCTGGAGCCCCGGGAAGCCGCGCCACGTCTGCGCCTGCGCCAAGTCGTCCAGTCGGGCGTAACTCGGGCGAGGGCGGGACTCCGGCCCGCGCCTGCGGATTGGACGAGACGGACGGCAGCGGAAGTGACGCACACGCCCGCGCCGGCGGTGCGGCCGCGCGGTGGCTGCTGGGCGTCGCTCGGCGTCGCAGCGCCTCAGCGCTCCCCTCCCCCCTGCGGTCCCCGCCCCCTCGGCCGCTCCGCTCCCTGGCGTGACTCGGCACTGAGCGAGCCCGGGGAGCGTCGCCGCTGCCGCCGCCGCCGCCTCGTTTGCCCAGGCCTCGGCCTTGCTTGCTTGACCTCTCTCCCGTTCCCCGCCCGCCTCGTCGACCTTTTTTTTTTTTCTTTCTTTCTTTTTTTCTCTCACAGTTTCGGAGTCTGTGGCGTCGCGGCCGCCGCCCTGCGGGGGAACCCTCGTGAGAATGGTGGGAGTGAAGCCGGTCGGGAGCGACCCGGATTTCCAGCCCGAGCTGAGCGGCGCGGGCTCCAGACTCGCCGTGGTCAAGTTCACCATGCGAGGGTGAGGCCGGGCCCCTCCGCGCCGCCTTCCCGGCGCCGGCGCGCCCCGCTAGGCCTCGGCGCGGGCTGCGAGGGCCCCGCCGGCCCCGGTAGCCCCCGGCCGCCCGCCCAGGCCGGGCCCCTCCCCGCCCCCCGACTCCTGGGGGTCCTCCCTCAGACGAGCTCTGTTGGGCGTTGAAGGGGCTTTGCCCGCCTCGACCTCCTCCAGTGTCACGGAACCCCCCCCCCCCCCGCCCGCCCCTTTTCTGCAGCCCAGCTGCCCCTTGCATCCGAGAAACGCTCCCTTTCCGCCTGGAGTTACTCCCCGACGCGGGTGCTGCTCCCCTCCGTCACCCCCCCCCCCCCCATTCCCATCCCGCATCCCCGCATGTCTGGGAGGGCTCGGGTAGGTTTCAGGTTGGGACCCTTTTTCGCCCGCCGCCGGGGTTGTACGGTTCAAGCCGTGAATGCCCTTTGCCAGGGGGGTTTGGGTGGTGGTGGTGGTGGTGGTTGAATCTGGAGTCTCTTTTTTTTTCCACGTTCTGAAACTTTACGGATTATTATTATTACTAGTTGTTATTGGCTTTGGTAGCTTCGGCTCTCCTGTACACGTGATCGCGTCTGGTTTCCCACGATGTCATCAGGTGACCGGATTGCCTGGGTTTGACCGAAGAGACTTCACTTTTGGCTTGGGGGGTGGAGGGGTACGGGTGGGGGTGGCGAAAGAGGAAAGAGGACAGGAATCTGGTAAAACCTGAACTGTCCTTGGGAAGCCTCCCTTGGTGAGAGCGAGCGCTGGAGGAACCCCCCCCCCCCCGTGTTGGGGGGTGCGGGGTGCTGCCTTCTCAGAAGTGGACGAGCAGGAAACCCAGATTTTTATCGGGTGCCTTGACCGATCGATCTTCCCTTGAGTTAAGTTGGGCGTTAAGTAAGCTTCACAAGGTCGGACAGTACCCCTTGATTTTTTACCCGCTCCGTTCCCTGCCTTCCACCCCAGCCCCCTCTTCGGGGACACTAGCTTGGAGAACATCTGTAAGCTGTTCTCTGTAATCCCATCTGTCATCTGTTTGCTTTTGGTTTTGGACTCAACACCTGATGGTGCTCAGGGGGCCATTCTCAGTTCTGGTCGGGGTTGCTCTTGGTGATGCCAGGAGATGAGAACACCAGGGATCAAAGTCAGTTCCCTGGTGTTAAAAGTATGTGCTCAGACATTGAGCTGTCTTTCTATCCCACCCCTTAGCCCCACCTCATCTGTCACATGTAACTTCCAGTCTTACTTTGCCTCTTAGACTCCTGATAGACCAGTCTTGATACCTCATTTAAGTGGATTCATAGAGTGTGTGTGTCCTTGGTCTGAGGACCTGGTTCAGAGGGTTGGAGTTTGTGTGGTAGCCCCAGCTTCCATCCCTGATGCCACCAAAAGCTAATGAGATTAATACCAAAATGTATCAGAAAATTAAATTTGTTTTTCTGTTTCGTATTTCATTTAGTATATGTTTTCTTTTATTCTTTTTTTTTTCCTTTTTGCTTTTTTGGTCACACCCAGCGATGCTCAGGGGTGACTCCTGGCTCTGTACTCAGGAATTACTCCTGGCCGTGCTTGGGGGACCATATGGGATGCCAGGAATTGAACCCGGGTCGGCCTCATGCAAGGCACTCTACCTGCTGTATTATTGCTTCGGTCTGGTATATGTTTTCAAGATCCTTTCAGATAAGAGCATCTGTTAGAATTTCCTTTCTAAGTCTAAGTAGTAGTCAACTTTTCCAACCACGTTTTGCTTCCTCATCTATGGATAAGCGTTTTGGTTTTACCTGTTGACTATTGCGAATAATATTCCTGTGAACTTTGGTGCACAAGAAAGGAAATCCTCTTTTTCCTGCCCAAGAAACCTCATTGAGAGAGTTTCAGGTGTGGGGATCCCTTCTTTTAGATCTTTTAGTTATTTTACAGGGAGTGGAATTGCTGGGATATATATATATATGTATATATATATGTATATATATTCTGAAAGCATTTAGCTTTTAGAGAAACCACCAAACTGTTTCCCACAGCTTGCATTCCCACCATCCATCAATGTGTGAAACTTCTGCTTTGTCCGTTTTCTTGTCAGCACTCTATTGATAGTAGCCATCCATAAGAGTGTGAAGTGATAGCTATGGTTTGGCTTGTATTTCCCAAATGATAAATGATGTGGGCTGGAGCAGTTGGACTGTGGGCAGGATGCTTGCCTTGCAGGCGACCAACCCAAGTTAGATTCCTGGCACCACAGAGACCACTCTGATCTCTGAGCACAAAGCCGAAAGGCTGAAGGCCTCAAAAGTTAACGTTCCCCCCACCCACCCAAGAAAAAACCTATGTGAAGCATCTTTTCATGTACTTTTTGGCTGTTTGTTTTTGGAGTGATGTCTGTTCACGTTCTTGATCCATTTCTGAATTGGTTTGGTTTGCGTTTTTGTTGTTCAGAAACAAATTTTGTTGCTCTTTAAAAGAGTTTCTAATGTATTTTGGTATTAATCTCTTCCAGATGCAATTAACTGTTGAATAGCAGTGGCTCTAAACTTTGAGGATCCTCTTAATATGTGTGTTCTTTTCAGTAAGAAACAGCTGCCCCTCTATATCCATGGGCTTCAAATTATTTACAGATTCAACCAACCTTAAGTGCAGAACCCATAATTTGAAGGGCCAGCTGCAAAGAAATTGCTTTTGGTGTCCTTTGGTATCTGTATTAGGAAACCATTTTCCTGAAGGTGTTTAGGGAAGACTATAGGTAATTTTTTTTTTTTTTTGGTGGGGGCCAGGGGCACAATCTGCGATGCTCAGGTTACTCTTGGTTCTGCACTCAGAAATTACTTCTGGTTGTGCTCGGAGGACCATATGGAATGCTGAGTATCAGATCTGGGTTGACCTCATACATGGCAGGCACCTTACCCGCTCTGCTGTGGTTTTGTACCCCTCACCCACTTTTTTTTTTTTTTAAGTTTTTCTATGACTGCTGGCCTCCATCTTGTTCAGGGTCCACTGTGTATGATTTGGAACCGTTTTCTCCTGTTCTTTGCCTTCTTATTTTCTGATAGCATTTTTTAAAAATACACTTAAGTTTCATATTTTTGATGACATTTGATTTGTTTGGTCTTCTTTTGTTGCCTGTGCTCTTCAGATCCTAGCCTAGAAACTGCCAGTTTTAATGTCATGAAAACTTTGTTCATCATCTTCATCTAAGAATGTTTTCTTAGCTCTAAAAGTTTTGAACTCCTTGAACTTTCTTTAGTTAATGCTTATTTGGGGTTTAAATTGGAACTTTATGTTTACATATGTGGTATCTTTTCCCAGCTCAGTTAAAAAACTTTCCTTAGGTCAGTGGTTTCTAGTATTCTAAGTTTTCTTTTGCTTGGTACGTGGGCTTGAACCTAGCCTTGCACATTCAAGGCCTGTCATCTGAGCTGCACCCTAGTTCTTGCAGTATATTTTCATTTGGGGGCCACATGTAATGGTGCTCTGGTGCCTATGTGGTGCGAGGAGAAATCAAACTAAGGGTCCTATAAATGCAGGCAAGCACTCCACCACTAAACTGCATCCCTGACTGCCCTTCGGTGGGGGTGGTTTCTGTCATATTGGTGCAGTTCAGGGAATTTTTCCTGGCTCAGTGAGCTCTGTGGCGCTGGAAATTCAAACTGAGGTGGGTAGGATGCAAGGCAAGAGCCTTAACTCCTGTACTGGACTGGTTATTTTTGTTTTTTGGGTCACGTCCGGAGATGCTCAGGGGTTACTCCTGGCTCTGCACTCAGGAATTACTGCTAGCAGTGCTCAGGAGAACCATATGGGGTGCTGGGGATTGAACCTGAGTTGGCCACATGCAAGACAAATGCCCTACCCATTATACTATCACTCTGGCCCTTCAGTGTTTTTTTTTAAACTAGTAAAATAGTCACCATTTTGTATATTTAGATTGTGTAAGGAACTTGACTAGGCACTTTTGTTCACTTGTTGAATTTTTTGTTTATTTTGGCCATACCTGGCAATGCTCAAGGGGCCACTAAGGTCACTACAGGCATTGCTGGGGCACCTGCCTGGCTCGTGGGGCATTCTTTCTCTCTGGCCCTCATTCAGTTCTTAAAATGATCATTTTGCCAATGAGGAATTCATGGGTTCACAGTGAGGTTAGGTAACTTATTTGAGGTTGTTGCTGAACATGTTATTTACCCATTTGTTGGTTTGGGGGCCACACTGATGCTCAGGCCTTACTCCTGGCTCTGCTCAGAGATCACTCCTGGCGGTGTTTTGGGGACCATATGCAGTGCCAGGGATCGAAATGGTGTTGGCAGTGTACAAGATAAAATGCCTGAATCCCTGCCTGTACTATCTCTGAGGTCCCGAACACACTATTAGATTGCAAAGTTTCCTCCAGCCTAAGCAGAATGAAGACGCAGGCACATCTCTGTTTTGCACGGAGCCTGATGTTTTCAGTAAATGTTGCCTTCAATTGACTTAATACAGCCTTGCTGCAAGCTGTTTCAGGTATAAAATTCAGTTCACATTCTAATACTCCTCCTACCTATATATAAGTATATAAGTGGAATAATAAAATGTAACTATCCATATTGCTAAGAGAATGAAAGAATAGTTTACCCCAGTGTTTGTATATATTTATCAGATTTGTATATCTAAAATGTTAGACATCCAGGTACATTTTAACGGTCACAAGCAGTGCCAGTGTTATCTTTAGTGGGTATTGTAACTTGAATATGCTGCTGTGTTAAAAAGATAAACTCAAAATGAACTAAATTTTTTTTTCTTATTGTTGAAATGACAGGGTTGGTGACATATGCTTAGGTGTGATGGTGTGCATTTGATTGTTCTTGCACCCTTGGCCATGGAGCTTGCTGGGGGTCCCATTGCAGTGCTTGCATATGTGCTCACTGGGCTTATTCCCTTTAGTTCTGGTGCTGGCACACATTCTGGTTATAGTGCTTGCTGGGGGCCAGTTCTGACTGGGCGTCTTGTCTTGCATGTTTTTAATTACGGTGCTCACTGGGGTTGCACACTTTAGTTGTGATGGCTTGCACACACCTGGCTGTGGATGCTCTGGAGACTGCACACTATTGGGGTGCTGGGATTCTGAATAGCACAGCCTGGACTCTACTCTCTGGGATTGGGGTGCTAGGGTGGAATGTGTTGTCCCAGTGCAACCTTGGGCACTGGGTGCGAGGTTCATGGCCTCTTGCTTATGACTTAGCCACTGAGTGATGTTCTGGGTCTGAATGGTTGGTGGGGTGGGTTTGGGCTGCACCCAGTGTGCTCATTCTACTCCTGGCTCAGTGCTCAGCTTGGACCATGCAGTGTTGGGGATCAAACCAGGTCCTACTGTATGCATGTGCCTTATCCCTGTACTGTTTCTGTGGCTCTGAATGATTTTTTGTTTGTTTGTGTCTTAAACTGATTTAGTTAGTGGTTTTTTAGTAGTTGATTAGGTGTTACTGGCAAGAAAGTTAGTATAGTCTGGAAAGATAGCTCAGTGTGCTTCCTGTATGCTTCGCATGCAGGAATTCTGGGTTTGATCCCTTTGTACTGCATTATCACCCAAATACGACCGGGCCCAAAAGCCAAAAAAAGAAAGGAAGTCATCATTAGAATATTAGAATGTTGACTTCTAGCTTGTCCAAATGTAGGAATATTTTTACATTCTGCACAGTTGTTGATGACTGATGGTAGTTTCCGGTAGTACAAAGATAGCATACCTGGCAGTTCTCAGTGCCCAGGCAGATATTAGTGAGTTCCATAGCCTTTTAGATAAGTAGGGTATGGTGAGAAAAGAGAAAACCCTGGAGAAAAGAGTGTTCCATGTTTGTTTTTTGTAAGCCATAAAACTGAATTCTAATATTTGTATACAGAAATCTTACAATTTATAGTTTGTTGTTGGTTTGTTTTGTAGATCATACGCAGCAGTGCCTAGGGGATGCTCAGGTCTCTGTACTTGTGGGGTTGTCTCCTGGTGTTAGGGGGGACCTTGGGGCCAGGGTCTGGGTTACTACATGCATAGCCTTACTGGCAGCCCGTTGAACTCTTGACTTTAATGTGTAGTTTAATAATTTTCAAAGTGATTAATCCAGGTAGTGGATTAAGAATGACAATACCCCAAAATCATCTTTTTTTTTTTTTTTTTTTTTTTTGCTTTTTGGGTTATATCTAGCAATGCTCAGGAATTAACAACTGACTCTGCACTCAGGAATTACTCCTGGTTGTGCTCAGAGATGCGAGCAGGGGATCTTTGTTGCATTGCTGAGAACCCAGGAACTTCTGGTGATATTTGGCCAAATTGCCTTGGTGAGTCCTGCTAGGATCTAGAGATGGGAACTGCTTGGACTCTGCAATGCTGGGTACCATCAGGGCCTCCCCAGTGGTGCTCAGTGGCCTCCAGCCACACCCAGAAACATTGGAGGTGCTTGGCACATGGAGCAGGGCTGGAACGCGGGTCCCAGTGTGTGCACAGCCTGTTCCGCTGCCTACTGAGCAGAGTAGGAGCCTTCCACCAGATATTTTTATAGGCCACACCTAGTGGTTCTCACTGGCTGCATCTGACTCTGCTTGGGGGTTGCTGTCAGCAATGCTTGGGGTCCCTCGTGGTGCTGGGCCAGTGGTGCTGGGCCAGTTATACGGGGCCTAATGAGTTCTCTCTCTCTCCAGGCATACCCTTTCTAAAATAATGGCCACACTGGGTGTTCAGGTGCTGCCGGAACATGTCCTTGTTCACTGTCCAGCTACCATCTCGGGGCACACCTTGTACTTCTAAGATGAAACTCGGAGCCTCCCTCACACATGTGGTCTCTCTTGCCCCATAGAAATAGCTTTAATCTTGACATTTAGGTTTGAAATGACAAAATGTACTAATTGTGTAGGACAGTGTTTGAGGGTTTATTTTGAAATAGTACAGTAAAAGTTGAGAACTGGGTTTTGAGATTAAATTCCAGTTCTGCCCTTCATTGTTGTCTCTAAAATGAGGAATTGTAAAGTTTAAATGAGGCAACATTAATTATTGTCATGTAAGTTGCATGACATCTTAAGTGCTTAAAGAACAATAGCTAGCTATTTTATGTTACTAATGGATAGCACAGAGGGTAGGGCCTATGTTTGCTTTGCATGAGGCTGACTGGGGTTCAATTCCTCCATCCCTCTCGGAGAACCCGACAAGCTACCAAGAGTATCTCGCCTGCATGGCAAAGCCTGGCAAGCTCCTCATGGCGTATTCAATATGCCAAAAACAGTAACAAGAAGTCTCACAATAGAGATGTTACTGGTGCCTATTGGAGCAAATTGATGAACAACCGGAAGACAGTGCTACAGTGTTACAGTGCATTGACTGCTTACGATTAGGTCTGGTCTTTTTTTGGGCAAGTGTCCCTTTTCTAGACTTAAATTCTAATTGTTAATTTTGGTTGGCCAGATCAGTTTTAAAGTACTAGTTTTGTGAGTTTGGCTCTTCGCGTGTTGGCAGGAAACTAGAGAATATTTGCTGTATTCTCTCAAAGTGGGGGTGCTAGGGAGTGAACCCAGACTACCACATCAAAGTATGCATTCCAGCCCACTACTTAATTTTCTTTCTTGGAGGGGGGGTATCACACCTGGTGGTGAGCAGGGCATATTCCTGGCTCTACGGCAAGGTCACTTGGTGTTGCTTGGGATAACATAGGCAGTGCTGTAGATTGAACTAGGTAAAGCTGTGTGCAGTGCAAGCGCCTTAACCCCTGTGCTATCTTTGGTCCTTTAAACTTGTGAGTTTTATAAAACTTCATTATGGTTCTTATATCAAGCAATGGAATGTCTCACCTCTGAACCTGAGAATGACTTAGATAATAGACATTTGTAGAATGCATACTTTGTGTGTGAGACCCTGGGTTCAGTTCTTGGCACTGAGTATATTTAGATAATTTGATTAATTTATATAAGAAAATATACTCCCTTTCACCCCATTGACTCACCAGACAAGTTGAGAAGAGTTAACTGTATAATAGTATAATCTCCGTTTGTTCAGATCTTCTTTAATTTTTCTCAGAACAGAACTGTAGCACTGCAGCACTGTCCTCCCATTGTTCATCGATTTGCTCGAGCGGGCACCAGTACCATCTCCATTGTGAGACTTGTTACTGTGTTTGGCATATCGAATATGTCACGGGGAGCTTGCCAAGCTCTGCCGTGCAGGCGGGATACTCTCGGTAGCTTGCTGGGCTCTCTGAGAGGGGCAGAGGAATCAAACCAGGGTCGGCCACATGCTAGGCAAATGCCCCACCCGCTGTGCTATCGTTCCAGCCCCAAAGATTTATTTTAAGAATTAATAAAATTTTTTGTTATATTTATTTGCATATTATGCTTGTATGTATTTGTAGTGTTTGGGTTACACCCAGCATTGCTCAAGGGTTCTGGCTTTGTGCTCTGGGTCACTCCTGGTGTTGTTTGGGTGGTACTGGGGATCAAACAGGTAGATTGAACTGGTATGCAAGACAAGCGCTCTATTCTCTGTACTATCTTTGTTGTTGTTTTTGGGCTACAGCCAAGAATGCTCAGAGGTTACTTTTGGTTCTGTACACAGGGATCACTCTTTGCCAGCTTGGGGGACCATATGAGATGTTGGGGATTGAACCAGCGTCGTCTGTGTTCAGGGCAAGCACTTTATCCACTGTGTTCTTGTTCCAGCCCCTGCTCTATACTACCTCACTCTTTTGATGCATATGTATTTAAATAGCCAGTGTGAAAAACTATAATGTCTGAAACCAGGATCATCAGAATTTGTTTTATTTTATATTTGAATCGATAATTTATTTTTTTAAAGAATACAGATGAGTAGTTTTGGCATTCGTTTATCCAGCATCTCTTTTGTCTTCTAGGTGTGGACCATGTTTAAGGATTGCCCCAGCATTCAATTCTATGAGTAATAAGTATCCACAGGCAGTTTTCTTGGAAGTTGATGTTCATCAGTGTCAGGTAAGGGAAAGAAGTCCTTTAAACTTATTTACATATCAATTTGAAATTCGACATTAGTATCATCCTTTATTAACTCATTATCTCTTTGTACGCATTGTACTTGTTCCTTTGAAGACAGGAAAACATGTTGACATGATTATTACAAATATCATTAGGGCTGCATTAGTCAGGAAGGGTAGTCTAATATTAATTGCATCTGGCTTGTTTATATTCATATCCACATATAAATCTAATATTTCATTCTTTAATAGTTCACCTGGAAGTTCTTTGTTTTCCTTTGCAATCTGTAATTATATCTTCTGCTACTGAGATATTGGCTGATTAGAAAGCTATGCCAGATAATTTCTGGTGGTAGTTTTATTTGAATTGATCAATTTGTATCTTCCTTACAAAGCTCTCTACTCAGCAGAAACTTTAAAGTCTTGATTACTGTTGATTGAGCCCTGCGCTGTAGGTAGATTGCCCTGATTACTTGGTTGGAATGGCTATGTGACAGTTCTGTATTTGCATGTGTAGAAAAATGGGGGGAGATCATGGGGAATAGTTTGGAAGACTCTAATGCTGAAAATTGTATTTCTTCCCCAGGGATTTAAAAAGTTTTTCCTTTAATTTATTCTTTTATTTCCCCTCCACCTCACCTCACTTTTTTCTTTAATTTCTAAGTATTTGTTAATTGAAGTAACACTTCACTTTCACATTATAAAAATATAGTCCTTATTTATGACTGAAAAAAGAAAACCCCACCTCTGTAGCATTCTTTTTAAGGTGAGAGGGATGGTCTAGGAAGCTTTATCTTTTTTATATTTCTGAATACGAAATGAACTTCAGAATATTTTCTAGTTAGTAGCTTGGGAGTGAGTTTTGTTAGCCCTATGTTGTTTTTATTGTTCATTCTGTAAAGTCACTTGCTGCATGAGTTTGTTCTCTCTTATCACTGAAGAGTAGTCCATTGGACTTTTATTTATTTGTTTATTGGGCCGGGGGGGTATGTTTTGGGGGGGAACACTTGGCGGTGCTCAGGGCTTACTCCTGGTGGGCTCAGGGACCATATGGAATGCTGCAGATAGAACCCAGGTTGACCGCGTGCAAGGCAAATGCCCTTATGCCTTGTATGATTGCTCTGGCTGCTGGACCCTTGTTTTTTTTTTGAGCTGTATTTTATTTTTATAAAATTGTTAATCAAATACCAATCTCACCACCGTTGCACCTTCCCACCACCATATTTTGAATTTTTCCACCCCAAATTCCAAACCATGCCCCCCTGAAACAATTTTATATTGCTTGTTGTGATAATCCACCAGAAAGGGTCCAATAAAATTTCCTTAGAGCAAAGTGTATGAAGATTGTTGTATATCATCCTAGATTCATTAAGCCCTTCTATTAGAGATAACTAACATGTTTGTTAAACCCAGTCAAGTGTTGTGTGCTACTCTTGGTACATCAGTGATGTAGAATATGAGAGGTCCAGGAATTCTAAAATTTAGAATACGATTGTACAGCAGATTCACTCACGGGTGAGGCCTCTGTTGCTTTCTTCCAGGAGCTTTATTTCCAAGTCTCTGGATTGTAGCCATTGATTATACAGCCCCAGGGACAATTTATAGGTGTCACTGCCAGGCCTACTGGTAAATTTGGGAGATGGGGGAGGAGATTCTGGGCCCTTATTTCATTATTATTTTTTTAATTAAAAAGATTGAGATTGGATGGTTTACAATGCTATTAATAATGGTTTCTCATGCACATTATTCCAGTACCATACCTATCACCTGTGTGATACCCATGATGCCCCCTCCCTCACTCAAGGATCCCAAGCTCCCTCCCTCAGAGATGCATTCCCCACCCCCACTCCATTCCCACCAGTCAGTTTTTTGTAGATCAGTTTTCCCATTGTGTTGCCTTGCCAACCAGCTATGTATCTTTAAGTTGCAAATAGAGATCTTTCTGTATCTGGCCTATTTCTTCCAAAAGACTTTATTCAGCATGATATCCCCTAGTTTCATCCATGTTGCTACAAATTGCCTGATTTTGTTCTTTCTTGGCACTGCATAGTATTCTCTTATTTCAAATCTCTAATCTGCATCATCTCCTGTGGGATAAAATCCGAACTGTTTGGCAGCCATAGCTGCAGGTGCTTATTGAGGAGTTGCAAGTTCAGTTGGGATGAATGTTACATGAAATAGACATAGGGTTTTGAAAAGTTAGTATGAAAGAAAAATGTAGAATATATCATGAACATTTTATATGGACTTGAAAGTGCATTGATCATATTCACATATTAATACAGATTTCACTCAGTCCCTTTACTTTTGTGATAATGGAAAATTGTAAATTACATATTATAGTTGACATTTGTGTCTCCATTTTAAGAGGTCTGTCATGATTTGTTTTAATTCATAAGATTTATCAAAGATACTTCTATGTAAAATTTGCCCTTTTTTTTCCTTAAATCTTTTTTTTTCTTCCGCTTTAACACTGTGGTTGATGAAGTTGTTCATGAAGCATGTTATAGGCATTCAGTATTCTACTTTTTTAATTGAATCACTGTGAGATAGTTACGAAACTTTCATGTTTTTCAGTCATACAATGGTGGAATTATCGCTCTGTACTATTGCTCCAACCCCATCCCTCCACCAGTGTATATTTTCCACCACTAGGGATAATGCCTCCAGTCCCCCCCCCCATCCCACCCCTCCCCCTGCCTCTATGTCAGACAGTTTTTCTCTTTCTCTCTACTTTTGGGCATTATGGTTTGCAATACAGATAGAGGCCATCATGTTCACACATTCAATATTCTAACCTCAGTTCCACCATCACTGTGACCTTACCTTGGAACACCACTCACTGTCACTGTCATCCTGTTGTTCGATTGCTTCGAGCAGGCCCCAGTAACTTCTCCTTTGTCCTAGACCTGAGATTTTAAAAAGTGCCATATTCGAGGCTCTTTCAGGGTCAGGAGAATGATACCCATCATTGTTACTGGTTTTTGGCATATTGAATACAACACGGGGAGTTTGCCAGACTCTGCCGTGTGGGAAGAATACTTTTGGTAGCCTGCCAGGTTCTCTAGAGTAAGAATTAGATGATAAGAGTGGCCGCGTGTTTGCAGGAGCAGGGTTTTACCCGGCGCTGTGTAATCCCATCAACTGCCAAGACCCAGAGACTATAAAACCTTGGAACACCATTGTCCCCATTTTCCCAACCACCCCTCAAGCCTATGTCCTCAGCAGACCTGAAATAATTTATTTTGTATTGCTTGTTACCACTACATGGCTAATGGAATTATTAAAAAATACCTTAGTAAAAGAAATATTTGTGAAAATTATATCAATTGTAATTGGTGTTACAGTTTTAACCATGGACACATTAAGTCCTTGTCTGAGGTTTAGTAAGCTGTTATTGCTAGTTGAGCCTTCTCTGTTAATGTTTTGTTCCTTAAGCTTTGTTGTCTTCCTTTTTTTTTTTTCTTTTGCTTTTTGGGTCACACCCAGCAATGCACAGGGGTTACTCCTGGCTTTGCACTCAGGAATTATTCCTGGCGGTGATCTGGGGACCATATGGGGTGCTGGGAATCGAACCTGGGTTGGCCGTGTGCAAGCAAATGCCCTTCCCTCTGTACTAGCGCTCCAACCCCAACCTTTGTTGGCTTCTACATAACATTCCCATCCAACCTGGTGTGCTTTAACTGAGATGTTAGTATTGTAGTGTTTGGAAATGTGGTCGCACACTCGAGAAAATCCAGTTATTTAACCAGGCAGGGAGCTTACATGGTGGTGATTGTGGGATGCAGGTGTTGCTGCCGAGGCTTCTGGAAGTTCAGGGGTGTGGGGAGCGGTTGCCCGCCCTACTACCCACTTGGAGAAGACCCAGAGTTCTTTTTGCTGTTTTTTTTTTAAAGAGATGTGCTGATATCTCTTCATATTTGAGTATGCAAGGTGATATGTGTACGTGTGTGTGTGCGTGTGTATATGCTTTTCTATTTCCTATATATTTTTCACAAAAATTTTAAGCTATACGGAGATGATTATCAGCCATTTTCCATTCAGTAGTCAGTCTTAGTAATATTCTGGAATCAGAATAGAATTGAAAATGATAGCTGTTGCAGTGTACTTGGGTTTCCTTGTGGGGTAAAAGGCAGGCTCTAGGCCTCATGCATGCTAGTCTCCCTCATTTTGAGCAATCCCCATCCCTGTTGCAGCATATTTGTTAGGAGACTGGAAGCCATTTTCGTAAGAGTATAATCAATTGGGTGAGAATTGCAATGCAAAGAATATTACCCTCTTTTCAGGACTGATTGTGCTCATTTTACTTATACCCCCAGTGCATCTTTACACACATTTGATCATTTGACCGTGTATAAAAATCTTAGCTTTTCCTTGATTTTCTTAGTCCCCTACCTCTAACATATTTTGCTTTTTACCCTCTTTCCTTCCTCCTGGTGTTGTGCTGACCAGGGGGAATGTACATGCTTTTTTGCTGCATTTGCATACTCAGCTGCAGTTCTCACCCAGTGTTGTGTTCCAATATTTCTACTGTTGTTCATATTGGTACTTTTGTCACAGTAACAGTGGTTTGTATTGACCATTTTATTTTCTTTTTGGGTCACACCTGGCACTGCACAGGGGTTACTCCTGGCTCATGCACTCAGGAATTACCCCTGGCGGTGCCCAGGGGACCATATGGGATGCTGGGAATCGAACCCGGGTCAGCCGCGTGCAAGGCAAACGCCCTACCCGCTGTGCTATCACTCCAGCCCTGTATTGACCATTTTGAATGCTGTGTTTAGTAGTTCATCTGAGAAACAGGTTTAATCAGGAGAGCTCTCTGGTGGGTGTAGTGTTTCCCAACTGGGCCCTAGGATATTTAAAAGAGGCCATGGATGAAAAATCACAAAAGTGCAGGGGCCACAGCACAATTGTCAGTGTGCCAGCCAGTGGAACAGGGACCCATAGGAAGGAAACAAGGCTGGAGGAGGTCCACGGTCAGAAGAAGGTGAGAAAAGCTGTTTTAAAGCACTGTTTTTGTGTTTGCAGCTAACTGTTCTAGGGCTGCAGTATTTAAGATTGATGAAAATGCAAGACTGTTCATCATTATGGATATAAGGGTAATGCAGTTTCACACATTATGAATATGCCTGTTTTTACATAAGTAAATTTGATAGAACTTTGTGGTTTTACTCCATGCATCTGATATTTAACTTTAATAGAAATGTTCAGTAAATAATTAAAAGTTGTTTATTATTAATTAATAATGCCATCTAACTTATCAATTTTTAGGGAACAGCTGCCACCAACAATATTTCGGCCACACCTACATTTTTGTTTTTTCGGAACAAAGTGAGAATTGATCAGTATCAAGGAGCAGATGCTGTGGGATTAGAAGAGAAAATCAAACAGCATCTAGAAAACGATCCTGGAAGCAATGAGGATGCAGATATTCCAAAAGGCTATGTATGTAGACTAAAAAACCAAAGCCTCCCAGCTAGCATCTGGGCACTCTGGTCAAATGAGATTGTTTTTGTATTAGTTAATAACACTCTCAAAAGAGTAAAGGCTGTCAAAATTTAGCTTACTGTTGTGCTTTGTCTATATATTATAACCATGACCCTTCATTTTAAGATAGTCTTTCTAAATTTCTCAAGCTAATTTAATGTCACTTTTTAAAAATTTGCTTTCTAAACTATTGAAGAGCTATTTACTTTTTTTTCCTGCAGTACTGGGGCTTGAAACCAGGACCTCACACTTGCAAGGAAGGTGCTTTGTCACTAAGCTACATGTGCCTACTGTTTTTATTTTTTTTGCATTGGGGAGTCCACATCCTGCAATGCTCAGGACCATGGTACCATGGTACTAATCAAGCCTGGGGCTCCTTTGAGCCATCTGTTCAGCCACTTAATACTTATTTTTGAGCGTCTACTTTATTCTTTTTCCTCAATAATGAAGAAATGTGCATTGGTAACATGACTTATAAATTTTGTTTTGGTTTGGTTTTTGGCCATACTTGGCAGAGCTCAGGTCTTCCTGAGGATTTCTGACTCAGTGCTCAGGGATCACTTCTGGTGGTACTCAGGGAACTGTATTTGGTGCTAAGGATTGAACTGGGGCTGATAATTATTTGACACATAAAAAATTTCAGTCTTTTGAACACATATACATGCATTTGTGTCCTGAGTAAAATAAATGTAGTAAAAATTTAGTGATAAAAATATAAATATGCATCTGGTAATCTGTACTTGTAAACTTAGAATTGTTCTTGTTGAGTAGATGAAATGCATGCTTTTCTGAAAGGAGAGTTTGCCATGCCAGAGAGATAGCTCAGAGAGTTGGAGCACTATATTTTGCATGTAGAAGGTTTGAGTTCAATTTTTGGTGCTGCCTGGTGGTGTTGCCACCTAGGCTCCACCTCGCACAGCTTGGGCAGCCATGTGGAGCTGGGAATTGAGCTGGGAATTTATGTGCTCTACAGATCGAACTGTCTCACTGGCCCCTTTGAAGAGTTGGTAGTTTTTGTTTTGCTTTGTTTTTAGTGTGTGTGCGGATGTTCGTGTCACACGCAGAGGTGCTCAGGGTTCTTCCCCATATTAAAGCTCAGGGGACTGTATGTGGGGGCAGTGATTTCAGCCAGGGTCCTGGCCGTGCAGCCACGTGCAGGCAAGTCTCTTCCTCCTATTTTAGTTTTCTGGCTTGTGGGTTGTCTTTTAAAGTGCCTCATATTAAGAGAACCACAGATTTAAGTTTCTTACTGTTTTTATTACTCAATTCAATTTTTTATTACTCAGTTCAAACTATCTAAAGAATTGTTTAAACTTTTTCCAGATGGATTTAATGCCTTTTATTAACAAAGCTGGTTGTGAATGTCTTAATGAGAGTGATGAGCATGGATTTGACAACTGTTTACGAAAAGACCCAAGCTTCTTGGAATCTGATTGTGATGAGCAGGTAACTATATGCTTAAATTAAGGCTTGTTAGGACCAAATGTAGATCCATACATGCCTCAACATATAAGCCTTAATAAACCCACTCCATCTCATAGCTATATGTCTCTTTTTCCCAGGTGACCACTATTTTCCATTTCTTTGACCAAGCTGACTCACCTTTTTCTCTCTGCCTATGCAACTTCCAGGGCTTTAGGGAGAGTCTCTGAACTTTGGTTTGGTCTCTGAATTGAGCCTTCACCACTGTTAAATTCTTTTGTTTATCCTTGACCTACTATCTTTCTTAATTAAATGAGCATTCCCTCAGCATTTAGCCCTCATTCCCAGATGAAACCTATTACTTTACTTCATTGTCCAGAGGAAGTAGTTTGGTTCTCCCTTGATCAAGCCTCTTTATCTCCATCTTAATTGTTTTTCTTAATGTACTTTTTTTGAGTTTGGTTTTGTTTTGGGACCACACCTGGCGATGCTCAGGTCTTCTATCTTTTCATTCAGGAATCATTCCTGGTGAGGCTCAGGGAACCATATGGGGTGACGGGGATTGATTCTGGGTTAATCCTAGATGTTAATATTTTTCAAATGTTACTCTAATTACTTTCAATTTACCTATTCTCTATATTACATTGATTTTGTTAGATGAATTATTTTTGACCTCATATTTTAATTATCTTTAGCAGTTGTTAATATTGAAGGTGTTCAAGAGACTGTTTAAAATGAAATTATTACTTTCTTCACAGCTCCTTATTACTGTGGCATTCAATCAACCTGTTAAGCTTTATTCAATGAAATTTCAGGGGCCAGATAATGGTGAGTGTTGGTCAGGTTTAATTTTCTGTCTGTAGACCTTTTAGCATGTATTTATTAACTTTTATTTGGGGGCTTGCGGGTGCCGTTTTGGGCTGTATGCAGTGGTGCTCAGGGGACCATGCAGTGCAAGGGGCAAATCTAGGACTTCCGTGTATAAAGCATGCACTCCAGACAGACCCCTGTGAGCCATCTCCCTGGCCTGAGAAATTTGTTTTATGGCCACTCCTGGAATGGATAAAATTTAAAAAATGACTCTGTCTTTACTTGATTTATAGCTTTAGCTTTGTTACACATATTATGACCTGGTGAATGTGGTCTTGCAGCCTTGGCATTCTTGTTCATTAAATAAGAAATTTTCTTTTTTAACATCACTCTCATTTTGTTTCTGATTTATTTATGCTTGGGGATAGAACGGGGACTAGGATTTCGTCTTCTGGTTGCTTTTATATTGTTGGTTGGGTGATGTCATTGATACCTACCCTGTTTATTAGATTCCAAATTTGGGGGGTTACACTAAATTTTGTATATTATTCAGTAATTATACCTTATTTTAAAATTTCAGTTTGTAAAAGCAAATGCAGTTGAAGGTAGAGCATGTGTTATATACTTGTGACCCTGATTTTGATCCTCTGTACTCCCTGAGTTCTTCCATGGGTAGCCCTGGTGGCCCCCCAAACCCTCTGTGCCTGAGCAGCTTCACTGTGGCACTCTTAACAAAAACAGAAAGCACTGTGGAAATGTGTTTTTAAGTAACGGTTTGAGACACACTGTAACAATTTTGTTCTTCATTGGTTTCACTCATACAATGTTTCAACACGGGGACCTTGCTTGCAGGTTTCTCACCACCAATGTCCTGAGTTTCCCTCCTGCCCATTCCCTCGCCTCCCTCCCTCCCTCCCTCTTCTCTACTCCCTTTCTCTCCCTCTCCCTCTCTTCCTATCTCCTTCCCTCCCTCCCTCACCCCCTCTCCCTCTCCCCACTTTGGGGCATTATGGCTTGCAATACAGATACTGAAAAGTTATCATGTATATGCCTTTACCTCCTTTCAGCACTCCATTCTTGTCCAGAGTGATCATTTCCAACTGTGGTTGTCATTGTGGTCCCTTCTCCCCCTTCCCACCTTGTGGTAAGCTTCCAGCTGTGGACCCAACCTCCTGGCTCTTGTTTCAACTGTCCTTGGCTGTTAGTCTCAAACCGTTTTTTTGTTGTTGTTGTTTTTTAATATCCCACAGATGAGTGCAATCATTCTGTCTGCCTCTCTCCTTCTGACTCATTTCACTCCACATGATAAGTAATGTGCAAATCTTAAAGACTCCTTAATCATTTGCAGAATACAGGTCTTAAATTGTCCGCTGAAATTAAAGGGATTAAGACATTCTTTTTTCTTATTTTTTTATTATTAAAGAACCATGACTTACAAAGTTACTTATAGTTGAATTGTAGGCATACTGCAGTTCAACACCAATTCCTCTACCGATGTCAACTTCTTTCCACTAGTGTTTCTAGATTTCCTACCCACTCCTAACTCATCCCTGCTTGTCAACTTGACAGGCACTTTACAAAGTTTCAGTGGTCGCTGCTTAGATCTCATGTTTTCATTTCTGTTGAATCACTGTTTTGGGTAAATGGCTGTAGCCCTCACTCTTATCACTGGTATAACTGAAACCCTGATGCCTTTTCACATGTCAACTCCTTGTTCTCTTCTCTTTCTTCGGCCTCATCCCCCACTTGATTTCTTTCCTTCTCTGTTTTCTCTCAAAAACTGGGGTCAAAGGATGATCTCGGTGAACTTAGTCCTATATTAAGTTCCTGGGGAGCCCCTTTTCTTTTCTACTTTCCTACAGCAACAACAACAGTAAAAGATGATCTAAGGAAGCAAGGAGCTAAAACACTCTGAGAGATATCACTACTGTTCATATCCTATCACCAAGATTCAGTCATAGAATTTATATGATTTTCTTTTAGCTAAAACTTGTCACTGAGATTTAGTTCCTCCTAAATAATGCCCGAGTATCAGTTGTTGGCCACTGTACCCAGTCAACTCAAATGTTTTTTTCATGAGACTCCTGTTGGCCTTCAATTACTCACACAGTTGCCATCTTCCCTGTACCAGTTATTTACCCAGGTGTCTCGTGGGGCTGAGGGCAGAAGCTCTTAATATGTGTGTGAATGTGTGTGTGTGTGTGTGTGTGTGTGTGTGTGTGCTGTTTAGTATTCTCAGTGCTTACTCTAGTGCTAGCAGGTTGAGAGTAAGCCAGTGAACATATTGAATATACTGTTAGAAGACTAAACCATTACCCTTAATAAAATGTAATAGTTCTGTTAAAAAACTGTTGAAAAAAATGAAATACTCAAGACTGAATACTCAGACTTAGAGGCAATTCCACTTGAGAGGTCCAAAATTTTTTTTTCCTTTTTGGGTCACACCTGGCAGGGCTCAGGGGTTACTCTTGGCTCTGCACTCGGGAATTACTTAATCTTGGTGGTGCTTGGGGAGACCATATGGGATGCCCAGAATTCAACCCAGGTCGGCTATGTGCAAGGCATATGGCCTGCCCGTTATACTTTTGCTCTGGCCCTGCAAAGATACTGTTTTATGTAGGAGTATATGTGTATGTACCTGTAAATGTAAGTGTAATGTTACAGGAAAGAAGGTATGTTTGTGACGCTAACATTTAATATTACTCTTTTTGTTATAGGTCAAGGCCCTAAATATGTAAAAATTTTTATCAATCTACCCCGGTCTATGGATTTTGAAGAGGCAGAAAGAAGTGAGCCAACTCAAGCTCTGGAGCTAACAGAGGATGACATTAAAGAGGATGGCATCGTCCCGCTGCGCTATGTGAAGTTTCAGAATGTCAACAGTGTGACTGTAAGTGCCAACTGATGTGTCTAATGAACTTGTGGGTGACATTTTTCCCCTCTGCATCCTAGGTGATTTTAAATGGCCCTTAGTTACTTTTCCATTTGTTTCAAAATGATTAAAAACATACAGTTAAATTTCATTTCTTAAAAAAATATTATTTCTGCACCCTAAAGAGGAAGGACAGTTAAGTTTGTGGGATGGGTGGGCAGGAAGGGAGGTTGAATACCTGGGTGCTCAGGGAATCGCCCCTGACGTTGCTTGGGAACCATGTGCGGGATGGGGAATGGGCCAAAGCTGGCTGCATTGCAGGACAAGAACATTAACCCCTGTTCTGTCTCTCCTGCTTCCACTTTTTACCCCTTTTTATTAACTCTCTGGATTTGTTAGCATACTTATTTTGTATTTATATGGCAGCTTTGGTTAAAATTTTCTTTTCAGGTTGGACGAAATAGTCCAATGAAGTGCTTACGTAGCATGCAGCTGTGGGGACAACCTTGGTTTGAATTCTAGCATCACATAAGGTCCCCAGAGCACTCCTGGATGTGGCCTCCAAACCAGGAAACTTCATTCTGGAACATTCCTACTTAAAATAAAGACAAAGATATTTTTGTTTGTATGTTTGGGGCCACATCTGGCAGTGCGGAGAGTTTACTCCTGGCTTTGTACTTAGGCTTTACTCCTGGTGGGCTCTGGGGGACCACATGGGGTTCCAGGGCTTGAACCCATGTTGGCCACATGCTAGACAAGTGTCCTACCCACTGTACTGTTGCTCCAGCCCCAAATGAAAGCTCTTCTTTATTATCACCTGGTGATAAATGATGATATTTGTAAGAATATAATTAAAAAATGATTTTTTTCTATAATAAGTGTACTACTGTAATAGTCAGGATTTTAGTGAAAATAACTTTTAAGAAAGATAATATTGCATTATCTTAATTTCTGTTTCAGCTGCTTAGCTGCTGTGAATTTTGGTATTGAAACCCACCCTGCACATGTGCTTCTGCCCCAGCCCTGTTCTTCAGAGAAAGGGGTAGGAGGGTTAGAATAATACCTAGATAAAGATGTGGAAACTAAGAATCACTGAGAATAAACCATACCCAGGCTAATGTGGTTTCTCAGTTTTAGTGGATGCTTCTTATTTTTGGAAGTTAGAAGAATTGGAACTGGAATTTGGAATTAGAATTCTAATTTTAGTATTACAGTGCATATAGCAGTCTTCATTTTAGGAGATTTTCAGTGGTGTTTCAAAGGATACTTAGTAAATTAATGGTTCTAATTGAGTTTTCACTATTTGAAATACTCTAGCCAAATGAAGAAAATCATTATATTAAACTAGAATATTGGCCATCAAGTTTTCTGACTTTACTCATATTGATTACATATATGCAGTGATAATCTTTTGTCTACTCAATAATGGAAGGATTGCATTTGTTTATTAGGAAATTCATGCTCCAGCCCAATAATCACACTCTAGCCTATCTTTTTTTAATTCTTAAAATTTATTTTATTTGTGTGCAAGTGCGTTGGTAGGGGCCCACGTCTGGGTATTAGGGTCATACCAAGTGGTGCTCAGGACTTACTCCTAGTGTTGCTTGGAGTACCATATGCATTGCTGATGATAATCAGCGTCAACTGAGTACAAGTCAAGTGCTTTAACCCCTGTGCTATCTCTCCTGCCCAACAATTCTGCTTTTTTTGGGTCCATACCTGGGGTGGGTATGTGTGTGTGTGCATGCGTGCATACGTATTCATGTGTGTGTGTGTGTGTGTGTGTGTGTGCGCGCGCATGTATGTTTTAAATAGAGCAAATACAGTGATGCATTAAAAAAAAATCTGTAAATTTTCTGTTTTCTAAATGCTCATGCAGTTTTCCTGTAGGAAAGAGTTTAGTAGCCACTTGGAGGGGAATGGGGATGACTCAGGAGAGCACGCTAGCAGGCTGGAGGATGTGTGTGATCCGGGCCTTGCGCGGATCCCCACTTGGCAGTGCCAGGGGCTAGCCCTCAACGGCTGCTGAGTCGCACCAGAAAGGAAGCAAACACACAGTGGCACAGTTTAGTTTTAGGAGCTGGTTTTTAAAGCTATTTTTTCTTTCAGTATTCTACGCTATCAAATGAATAAGAGAATATCTGAAGGAATAGAGCTGCAGAGATTTTCCTCAGTGAAAATTTCAACACTGGTCTGCCTGTTAATAGTCATGAATCTCAAACTTTTCCAACAGTATAAAGAATTTAAGTATGGGCCCTTCACACTATGTTATCAGGAACTGGTATGTATGGTGTCTTGCCAAGACACCCTTGGAGAACACACACTTAACCGGGCCCTTGGGTGTCTTCGTGTAGTTTGCCCCACCCCAGATGGTGGCACCCAGGATGAGCTCAGGAAGATAGATGAAGGGCTTTGCTCTTCGTCCCAGCTCTGCCATGTAGTCTTCAGACCTTGTCTTTGTGCTTAAAAGAGCCCTAGCTAGGTTCTTCCTTCCTGAGCCTTGGCTTCCTAGAATGAATACTTCGGTGAGAGTTCTAGTCTGGAGTTTGGATTATCACTAATCATCAGAGGAAATTGATTAACGTTTTAAAGCATGTTTATGGGAAGAAAAAAAAAAGGGTTGTGATTGAAAATGTTCTCTCTCTTTCTTGGTAGATATTTGTTCAGTCCAATCAAGGTGAAGAAGAAACAACAAGAGTTTCATATTTTACTTTTATTGGCACTCCAGTCCAGGCAACAAATATGAATGATTTCAAACGAGTAAGTTTGGCTCAGTGATACTGAGGGGAAGTAAACAAGATTTTAAATAATTCCATAAAGATCCATCTTATCCTATAAGGTTAAAGTTTATCAGTAAATTCTCTTAACTACATTTGTCATCAGCTGAAAAATCTTTAATGAAAATGGTTATCTTTTGATACAGTATCTATTTGTAAGTCAGTGATATCCAAAAGTGAAGGTAAAAATAAAGTCTTGGTTTTAGAGTGGATTTGGGAATAGAGGGAAAATAAGAGTAAGCTAAATTGTGATTTGAAAGTAGTACTAAGAACTTTGTTGATAATTAAGAGTATGATTGGCATTGTTTTTGAGGAAAATATTTTAAATTACTTGAATAATTTAAATAGGGTATCAATTTTACTATCCTAAGTACCCATGGCCCTTTGTATTCAAATCATGCCTTTGTGCTCACAGCGTGTTTTGATTCATTTACAGTGAACGTGCAATTCTGTTGTTGTATCAGGGCTCACTCCTTGCTCTGTGCTCGGGATCACTCTTGATGGTGCTTGAGGTACCGTATAAGGTGCCTGGGGTGTGACCCATGTCAATCATGTGCAAGTCAAGTACCTTATGTGCTGTATTATCTCTCTGACCTCCAATTAAATATTTTTATATACACACCTCTTTTTGAGGGAATTAAGTTGTAAGTAGAGGGACCATTAAAGATGAAACTGTTTTATACATTTATATAACTATATCTAATTGGTAGCCGTGTCTTAAGGTGATAGTTAAAATACACGCACGGGTTGGAGTGCCCTCGGGCACTCTGTCACAGTAGGGCCAGGTTGCTTTCCACAGATGTATGTGTGGCTGCTCAGGAGGCTGCAGTGCTTTCTGGAGGCTCCGTTTTTCCGGCAGGCTCTCTGAAACTGTAGGTGCTCTTAAGGATGAGCCCTAAGTGCCATTGCCTAGAGGAGACACCCGGAATAACTATTTATATACTTGTTTGGGGGAATTGGAGGTAGTATATTCTGAAGAATCGTAATTCTTTTTAATGGTGCCTATGCATTTTGTGTTTAAAGAAAAATTTGTAAGATTACATAGTGTGAATGAGTTTATGGTAATAGATATTTTAATTGGTTATTTTTCAACTATCTGTGTAAGCATAATTAACTATGGGGAGCACTAAGAACAGATATATGCTTAAATCTGTCATGTCAGATGTTTGACATATGTATAATGACAGGTCAGAAGAAGCAGAGATTAAACATCTACATTTTTATGATATGAAATGTGCTGTACTGGAGAAATGTGTGAGCAACGAAGACATTTTGGCTGCTTGCTTTGTCTTACTTTGCCTGATTGAATTAGATGCATTGGAATTTGGTTTTAACTCTGCCTTGCTTTGCTTGTTCCTGGCTTAGTTCTGTTATCTCTGAGTCCTGTTATTTCCTCATATGAGTAGTTAGCCTCTTTCTTTTTTTGGGGGTGGGGGGTCATACCTGGCAATTCTCAGGGGTTACTCCTGGCTCTGCATTCAGGAATTACTCTTGGCAGTGCTCAGGTGGCCCATATGAGATGCCAGAGTTTGAACCTGGGTCAGCTGCGTACAAGGCAACCACCCTACCCATTGTACTATAGCTCCAGCCCCAATTTCCTCCTTCTTGGCATATTTACTGATTTCCTTTTTATTTTTTATTTCAAAGTAAAAAAAACTGAACTGTCTTGTTCCTAGCCTGCTATTTGGTTACAGTTTTTCTAATGTGAATTAATAATTACATATCTGAGACAGTCTCCACGTCTCTGTTTTCAGTTCCTACCCCTAAGACCCCCCCTTCTAGATGGATGTTTCTCTCTCACTCTCTTTCCCTCTCTCTCCCCTCTCACCACCACCAAATGACCGTTTTTGGACTGTCCTTAGGGTAGCAGAGATGTTAACTCTTGATTACATTATATGCTAGTGTATACTGTTTATTGGCACACATTTGTTTACTATCTAGTTGGATAGAACTCTCTCATTGTCATATCTGCTTTTGCATGCAGTCATTTTTTTGTCACAGAACATGTAGCCTTGGAAAATTCCCACTGTACACCTGTATTACAATGAAAGTTAAAAAGTAGAAATAAAAATTTATTTTTGGTTTTGAGTTGTATCTGGCTGTGCTCAGAGATTATTCCTGGGTCTGCATTCAGGAATTACTTCTGATTTTTCTCTGGAGACCAGCTCTGGAGCTCTGGGGATTGAACCTGAGCCGGCCATGTGGCAAGTAAGTGCCCTATCTGCTGTATCGCTCTAGCCCCATAAAAATTCATATTACTATAAAAATAGTTTCGATCTTGAAAACTCCCTAAAAGGGTCTCACTCAGGGTTTTCCGCTCTGGTCCACTTTTGAGAATCCCTGTGAGAATAATTTTAATTCTATTATGAATTCCTCCTTGGCATTCTGGACTTCTTGGTCCCATTCTCTGATTGTGGGATATGAGGAACTCCTGGCTAATACCTAGAAATCATGGGACAACTCTTGGGGATACCCTGGCTATTCAGTGCTTTGGTCTGGGGGCTGAGTCCTTTGCTTTTAATGTTCAAACTAATTCTTACTGGTTGAATAATTGAACTATGCATTAAAATTGTGTATGTTTCATTTTAGTAGTTTAGGAGATCTGCTTGTCTTTACTTTCATTATCCTGTAATAACTGATGCTTCAGTGAGTTTTTTCTTTGGACGGTATGTTGGGCCACACCCAGTGGTGCTCAGGGGCACCTGAGCTCCTGGCTTCTGTCCTGGATTGACAACTGGCAGTGCTGGGAAATGGTCTGTGGTGCCAGGGATCAAACTGGGCTCAACCTCATTAAGGCATTCACCTTAATACCAGCACTTTCTCTCAGGCCCTTTGATGTTTTTCTTATATTTCACTGTTAACTTTAATGTAAGAAAATGGGAGTTAAAAATTATGCTTACTGAATTTGGCTAATTTGTACTTGCATAGTCATTCATTAAAAATTGTTAATGAGTTTGATTTTGGGGGCAGAAGCAGTAGATATGTACAGTCCTGTAACACCTATGCTTGGTTTTATCATCATCCGTGTCTGAAGTGAGTTTATATTTATGAAGGATAATGCACAGTAATTTGGAAAATAAGTAAACATTAAAGCCTAGTTTAAGGCTCTCTTCCTTCATGAAGTGCTGGCACAAATTTTTCTAGCAGTTTGTTACTCCCTCTTCCCAACAATGGCTGGGAAAGAAGTATCATGTTTGAAGATGGAAGAGGGTCTTAAGCTTGGAAAGTAAAAATGGTATAGAGGAGCAGATAGTAATGGTAGTCTTGGGACAGTGGGACAGTGGGGACCGGAGTGATAGTACCGAGTGTAGAACGCTTGCCTTATGTGGTTGATCTGAGATCAATCCTCAGCACTCCATGTTGTCCCACCCCCTAGGGGTGATCCCTCATTTCAGAACCCTGAGCACTGTTGTATATGGCCCCCAAAACAAAAAAGAATGGGGTATCAGAATTTGGCTTTGAGAGTTGGAAGGTAATGGACTCACTCAAGGACAAGTCATACCTGACACTTCCTTAGTCTAAACGTAAAAGGAATTGTGCTTAGTAAGCAAAAATTTCAAAGTAGGTTGACTATATTTTATCAGTCCAGAGAGGAAAGTGATTTTCATCTCTGTGAAGAGGACTGTATGTAATAATTAAATGACCGATAGAATTATTCAGCATTTTCAGTTTATGTTTTTATGTCATATACGTTGTTTTGGGATAACTTTAGCTTTCTAGATAAATGAATCACTTTGTGTAACCAAGATGACAGCAGCTAAGTTAATACTGATGAATTTTGGATTTGAATAGCAGTCTTAGACTACCTTGCATGCAGTCACAGCTTTATGAGCTTACACTTTGAAGATATGGTATACTGGAATACACTCTTACTTTTGTTTTTGGCCCTTGAGACGTTGTGCACAGATAACATATACTTGGCTTATTGTTGAAAATAGATAAATTTTCTTGCCGCATGAAAAGCTTGCCATCTGATCTGGAAGTAGATGTTTTCTTTGCTAACATATGCTCATTACATGAATCACTATACTATAATACAAAAGTGTTAAAAGGTAATTGTATAAAAATGAGCAAAATTGTTGGGGCTTCTGCTTTGTGAGGAGTGAGGTGCATGTGAAAGGCAGAGCTGTTTTCTGTCACTGGAATACAAATACTTTTCTTAACTGGCCATTCACCATGTCAGCTATTTTTGTAACATTACTGTCTATTTATTTTTCAGCTTTTTTAATCCAACTCAAAAGAACTAAAACCAGAAGATTAAAAAAAATGAATATAAAGACTGACTTTGTCTCACTCCTTCCTCCCTTGCTTCTCTGCTCATCTAGCACCTGTTCGCTCTCACTCTACCCATACTCTCGCCTGTGTTGGTACAAGATTTCTAGAGCTTCTACCACCCGGATCAGCCTCCTTCTTATGTAGATTTCCTCAACCATCTCTTCTTCAAATCTCATTCTAGTCATACTTTCAGTTGGCCTTTTTTGTTGTGGCTCTACTGCCAGGAATGGAAGCCAGGACATCACACATGCAAGGCATGTGCTCCACCCTTGAAAAGTTCTGCCTTCAGTTAGCTGTTTCTGTTCTGGCTTGCTAGGAGGTGTTTTAATTTCATCACCATATTGTGTTACTGTGTTGCTCACCTGACCTTTTTTTTGGTTTCATTTTCCCATCTCATTTGAATTTTGAACATTTTGAGCAACAGCATTGCAATATAGCTCACATTGTATAAATGCGCTCAGATTTAGTTCCTTGTTGAATTGCTGGGTAATATTTTTCCTTCCTTCCTTTTGTCCATGCCTTTTGTCCCAGGCAATGCTGGGAGCCTCTGGCTGCTCTGCTCTTTGGTCAGTGGTTGCTCCCAGTGATGCTTTGAGACAGAGCAGTACACAAGTGCTGGGATGGGACCGGGGCATTTCATTTGGAGAGCCAGGCTCAGCTCTTTGACAGTCTGGTGCTTGTATGATGTTTTTTCAACCTAAAAGTTTAATTTTAGTTGTTAGGAACTATAGAATTGTCTTGGAAATCAAATTCAGTTTCATTAATTTCTTTTATACTCATACAAGTTACATACTGAATTAGATTGAAATTGATAGATAACATTTTTTCCCCCCTTTCTCTGGAACTATAGCCCACAAGACCTTGTTGACTTTTGTTCACCCTAATGAGCTCAAGGCCAGTTGACTTACGAATTGAATGTGAGATTGGGTTAAAATATTAACACAAATCAGTGGACTTTTTATTGAGTGAAAAAATTTTGATACCTAATTTTGATGTACCTAGACTTTTTGTTTGCCTGAATTGTAATATAAAAGACTTAAAAATGAATAAAATCTTTATGTTTGGTGTGAGAAAATCCCTATTGGTTTTCTGAACTTCTTCTTTTTTACAGAGAACACACATTGGCAAGTTGAGAGTTATCAACCTGTGAAACAGTATGCAGATTTGTAGTCTTCTACTGTATCACATCTGCTGAAATTTTAATTTTTAATCTTGGTTTTGTTTTCTTGTGCTTAATCTAATAGTGCTGTGTTTTGTGTGTTCCCAAGTGATATATAATGATCAATAATGCTTCCAGTGTTTCTCTGCAAAATTCATTTGTGGTACAAAGAGTCACTTCCCCTTCTTTGGAGACTCCTCTGTTCTCTTAAAACCTGGTTCTTACTCTTCTCCACATACACTGTTATGAGACACTCTCCTTAGCATCTTTCCAGCTTTGGGAACTTTTTAACACATGGTTTCATTAGATTAGAGGGGAGTTCTTTGAAACTAATAAGAGTGGTTTCCCATGATGTAGGTAAAACAGCAGTCCCTACACCATGTAATGGGGAATTCAGTGGGATTTTTACAATGTTCTTTCATGAATGACATAGACCCTGCCATGTTTTATTTTAGACAAAATACGAACTTCAAGATCCTGTTTCATTTGACACAGTACCATTTGGAATAATACATTTCTGGGTGGAAATTATATTTCTAAATATATATTGAAGTATTTTTGTATACAAATATAAATTGCTTGCAAATTTAGTTCTTTAGAGGCTTTTCTGCTAGGAGAATACTTTAGCTAATGATAAACTTTAAAGTTAAGTTATACAGCTAGAACATAAATTTAGAATCTTCCTACAGAGAATTTGTTTTGTGGTACTGTTAGTAGAAAAAGTTAATTTGTTACATTTTTATGCTGTCACATATATAGCAACAGGGGCAGTTAAGAAAAAAAACTTGAATAGAAAATTTTTCTAATCATTGACAAATTAATTTCACATTTTCAGATGATAGTTTGTGGCAACTAGGCTTTTTTAAAAATAAAAACTAGGCATACTCTGTACTTATGCCTAAAGCAAAAATCATTTGTTCTTACTGCATGTCTGCTATTGAGAGAAGTCTAGAAACTTGTCATCTTGGTAATGAAGACATAGTTTAGCAGATTCCTTTAATTCTAGATTATTTCATAATCGACATGTGATTACAAATTGTCTAAAAATTGTTTGCCAAAAATGTTTCACTCTCTTATCATTTTATTAACTTCTCTAAACTGTCAACGTTGTTTTGAAAAATCACATTAGTTTTTCTTAAAACTGTGTAGGAGACCAAAAATAGGTTGCATGTGTTTTATTTTTAATACCTCAAGACTAGGTGAAAGGATCACAGTTTGCTTCAACAGTGAAAATATTCTGCATGCTAAAAAAAAATTATACAGGGGTGAAAATTGATAACAGGTTAAGATTAGTACCAATAATATTTTGGAAATACTCATTTTTCTAAATCCATAAGATGTGCATAAAAAATTATTTTTGTGTTTTAGGTAGTTGGCAAAAAAGGAGAAAGCCACTAAGGTACAGAAGACACTGGAAGACCTTATTGCAAGCAGATCTACAGCTCCTGGATAATTGCTTGATTCTCACCAGAGACTGTCAATATTCCATTCATTGCCATTACCAATAAATAAATCATTGCTTTTGTTCAGATGGTATCACTAGTGTTTCTATTGTAATCTTGATACATGCAATTGTAAATAAAAGTCACTACTTTTGCCAAGCTTAATTTTGTCATTCTAAATAAGTGTTTTCTTTTTTCACTTGAAAATTGGCCAACTTCTGATTTAGAAGAGATCTGAGATTTAGAAGAGAAGAGATTAAGAGAAGAGATTAAGGTCTGGTACCATTACTGATTGAAAGCCAGTGTCTCTCTTTAGAGGAACAGAGCAGGATCCATGTTCACTCATGTGTATACAAACAGCAAGTGATTTTGATATAGTTAGCCATTTTCAGGTGAATATAAACTCATGTTTACTAAAAGAGTATTTTGGTGTCTGGGCTATAAGAACTACTAAAATGATTAAATGATAAAAATTACTTAAATGATAAAGCTTGGATTGAACTTTAAAATAGCTTTTTTTTTTTTAACCATTTAAAGGTATGTTGAAATCTGACGGTGGGGGGAAATACAGTACTATCGTTTCATTAAAAAAAAAACTGACCACAACTTTTTTGTTGTAACTGACAAAGGTGTTGTGTAAATATACAGAACATGAGTTAAGGTTGAAAATGAATTGGCCAAAAGAATAGATTAAAAGATCTTTCAGAAAAATCTTAAGTAACAGCTGTTCGTAATCACGTTATAAAAAAAAACAACTTAAGATTAGTACCTACAAAGTACTGGTAAATTTTTTATTTCATTGTTTTTAAATTAAAATTAATTTTAAAAATTTCTGTATTTTTAAAATTCAGTGTTTAAAAAGAGTAGACCAATTATAATAAGTGGTAGATTTGAGGACATTTCTGTATAGGAGAATGGTCAAAGTACCATTTTGCCTTTGGGAGATCAATGTATACATGTTCATGAAAAATTATGCAAAACTTTTAGTGTTAAAGCAGTCACTTTCTGAAATGCCTGTATCATTTGATGATGTCTAGTTGCTTTGTAAGCACATTAATTGGTCTGTGGGGATATCTGTACCTTACGTTCTTGGTTTTGTTGCCTGGTCACATTGAGGCAGAAGGGCAAGAAATAAAATTGTGTAATACTCCTTAATGTAGACCATCTTGGAATTAATCACATCTGAAATTAAGGGCAAAATTAATATCAAGAGTCTCACATTACACTTTTGTACACTTTACCTTTTTGGTAATTGTTAAAGTGCCTCATCTTAAGTATTGCTGACCTCATCCTATTTATACTTGACAATTTGAAAATCCAGTGAAAGCAATTTCATATTTGTAAAGGATTCGGCATCAGATTTATACTGTTCATGTAATTTTTTTCTATAACTCGGTTGCATTATCTGAACATTCCATAATTAAATTGTAAATAGTAAAAAAAAATGTTTATAGGTAACTGTAACATTTCACTATGGGAGTTTTACAAATAAACCTGCGTAGTTGACATTACCTAAAATTAACAAGCTGATATGTTTTCGCCAAATACTGCAGATACATAAATATATACGCACATATGCAATATGTCTACAACACTTAAGTTCTAGATAAGCATTTGAAAAGTACAAGACTTGTTTTTTGTGGGGGTGGGGTTTGAGCCACTTCCAGTGGGTGGTGCTTTTGGGTTACCCCTGGTGCAATGCTTGGGACCCACTGCTGGTGGTGGTGGGATTGAATGCAGGGCTTCTTGCCTGCTTTAGCTTGAGTCGTTGCCTGGCTCTAAACCTAGTTCTTTAACCAGTGCCATTCATTGATTTTTATAGAAAACTAATACTGTGGTTGGGTTTTTTTTTTTTTTTGGTCTAAAAACACTAAACCTTTTTTCTTGATTTTGCACAGATACAGTTTTCATTGGATGTATTATCTAGCATGAAACAGTAAATATCCAGAATTTAGAAGAACCCAAACAGCACAAATCCTGCCAGCATGAGACAGAGTGAAGAATAGGATGGAGGCCACCATCTCGTTCTTAGCTCATAACTGGCCTTTCTGAATTACTTTGGCCAAATGGTTTTTCAATCACAGTGTTGTCTTTGTTTGGTTTAGGGGCCACATTGTGAAACGCAGGGTTTACTCTTGGCTCTGTGCTCAGAGATCACTTCTGGCGGGCTTAGGGAATCGTATGTGGTGCCAGGATTGAACCCAGGTCAGCCACAGGCAAGGCAAGCACTTCTGTACCATTCTTCCAGTCCCCTCAGATATTTTGGAAGCCTGTAGGTTGACATGCCCATCTTTTCTCATTGATAGGTGCTGGTATGCAGTGTTTCTAGGTGTGTTGGCTGCTAATGTACTTGATGTTGGGATATTTTTTTCCCTAAGATATCTCAGATCTTCCCAAGTTCTTAGTAGTGTCAGAATTAAACCTTTAATACTGTAGTAAGAGTAAAGTAGTGGGATTGAGTAAATTATTCAGATCCTCTCAGCTTCAAAGAAAAAAAAATTAAGCTTACTCCTGTTGTTTATATTAATATTTACACAGTTCAGTTTGATTACTTTTTTAAATTTTATTTTTATTATTTTGAGTCACCATGAGATATAGTTACAAAGTTGTTCATGATTAAGTTTCAGTCATTGAATGTTCCAACACCCATCACTTCACCAGTGCACATTTCCATTTCCCACCACTAATGTCCCCAGTTTCCCTCCTGTACATCTTTCCTCCCCACCCCTGCAACCTACCTCTATGGCAGTGTATTGGGGAACCATGCTGGGTAAGAGGTTGGCTGCATGCAAGGCGAACATATTAACCCCTGTACCTTTAGGTAGAATATTGAAGTTATCTAAAGCATTTTGTTGTTTCGGATATTTGTCCCTCAGTGTTGTCTTTCTTTGGTTTTGGGGTCACTAGACAGTGCACAGTGTTTACTCCTGTCTCAGTGCTCAAAGATCACTCCTGGAGGGCTTAGGGAAATGTATGTGGTGCTGGGGATCAAATCCCCCTCAGCTGCATACAAGGCAAGCCCCTTACCTGTTGTCCTATCTAGTCTCCAACATCAATGTATTTTTATGTGCTTAGAGTGTAAAACAAGTGGACAGATTAATAATTTTACAGGCTAATAAGATCACTTGTTTTTGGGTCACACCAGTGACGCTTAGGGGTTATTCCTGGCTCTGCACTTGGGGATCATTCCTGGTGGGCATGGGAAACATGGGATTCTGGGGATTGAACCCAGGTTGGCCACGTGCGAGGCAAGCATCCTATCCACTGTGCTATTACTCTGGCTCCTGATCAGATCACTTTTAAATTGTGGTCCAATTGTGGTTCAGGTAAAATTATTGGAGGATATGTAACTAAATTACGAGGATTCTACACAGCTTAGAATAATGCTATTGTTTCGTCTCCTTAAAGTGTTTGAGTATTTCTCCTTCCTCCTTGCTGGGCTTCTCTACAGGAAGAGAGGGTTATTTAGGAAGTAATTATATTGTTTTGAAAAGGTCAGAATTAATTGTGAAAAAATAATTTGCTGATCTATATTTGAATTTGTACTGGCACACTATGCTGCTTAGGAGAAGAGTCATTGAAGGTTGTCGTTGTACTGTAAGTTCTGTCACTTAGAAAACTGTGTAAGGCAACACTGATAATAGTTGGTTATATACATGACATGCCAGCACCATGCCCTCCACCAGTGTGTCCCTTCCCTTCACTATTGTCACAGTGTCTGGAGCAGCACTTTCCAGAGCTTGCATTTCGTTGTGTAAGAATAGAAATGTTACTTCTTTAGGTCTTGCTAGGAAGAAAATCTTGAAGAGTGACTTGTTCTTTTCTGTCCACTGATGTCCCCTGCAGCTGTCACTACTTTTTAGCCATCCTTTCTTGCTAGACATAGTGGCACGGCTTCCGGATTCTCTCCTTGCCCCTGATCTGATGGGTCTACTGTGCCTTGCCCATGGTTGCCAGTTATTTTTCTTTTTATTTCAAGATCTCCATAATTGTGATCTCTTTCTAGCCACCCTTGATTCCCCCGAGTGCTGTAGAATGCTGCCAGTTATCAAAATACATATTTATATCTAATGCCTTCTGACCTAACTTGTCTGGACACTCGACAGTTTCCTTATCTACAAGGCTCAGTCCAAGGAAAACTGATAAGGGGAGCACATGGAACACTGTATATGCCCCGGCTGTTACAGGACTCCTGTCACTTCAGCCTGGTTCCTACCAAGTGACGTTAAAATTTTCTGGAGTCTTTTTGCTAGGCTAGATGCTGAGCAGCGGTGTGAGAATCATATCACCAATACCAAACCAAAGTTACTGTGAGAACCAAAGTTACTGTGTTCATCCTTGAACACAATTGAACAATGATTCAGGTTCCAAGACGAGATAAGTTTCTTGAGGTTAAGTCCTAGAGATTAAGAATTTGCAGTTTTGGGGGCCAGAGATAGTGAAATGGGTTAGGCACATGGCTACCTTGGTTCTATCAGCCTCCCATTTGGTCCCTCAAGCACCATCAGGAGTGCAGAACCAGGAGTGACCCCTGAGCATCGCTGGGTGTGGCTCCCGCCCCCCCCCCCCCCAAAAAAAAAATTGCAGTTTAGCAAGATCAAGGAGATGTAAAGGACAAGTCAGAGGTATGTTCATAGAATGGGTTAAATATAAGGTTTTTTTTTGTCATTTTGTTTGTTTTTACTACAAAGCAACATCAAGATAAGTTATGATACTGAAGTAAGATTTGACCTAGACCAATGAAATATAATGGAGAGTCCAGAAATGAACACATACATCTCTAGTAAACTGATTTTGATGGGGCTACCATTCAATGGGAAAAGAACTGTCTTTAACAAGGGCTAGTGGGAAAGCTGGATCACTGCATTCAGCAGAATGAGGGGGCGGTGGCTGGAGATAGCTCAGTAGTCCAGTACCTGCCCTGCAAGAGTGAGCAGGTTCAGTGCCCGGCAGAATGCACCCCACATTCTGACTTGTAGTGGGGTCACACTGCCTTGGGGATCATGCCACAGGTGTGCTGAGTACAGAGCACTGAAACACAAGTGTCCCCCCACACACTCCCCTGAGCATCACACGAGCACTCCAATGTCCGACCTCTGCAACTGAGAGGGAATAAGGCCTCAATCAAGCCCAACCTATAAACTCCTTTGAGAGCTTTTCTCAAA